TCCTGACTGTGATTAAAAGGCTGGGAGGTGAGAAGAGGAGACTCGTTCCTGAAGCTGTTGGGACTCTGGGTGTGGTCCGTCCGGGTGTCTTCTTCTCCTCCTTTTTGTTCAGCTGATACAAGGGCTGGAAGGAGGTGTGGGTGGGTCTTCTAGCTGATCTGGTCTTTCTTAAGCACCTGAAAGATCTGACAGCAGCAGTGTGGAAGGCATGTGCCCTGCTGCTTCGTCTCTTCAGCCTCTCTGGATCTAAACCACTCAATGTTGCTGGAGAGTCTGTCCAGCCGCTCAGTGTGTAAGCATATAGAGTTACCAGAGGGAGGAATCACTCCGAGTTTCAGGTTTCAGCCCCTTGTTGCTCCAAAAGGGCCTTTGTTCAACTATTTATACTCTGTGGCACACCCTTAGGGTTGTTTGCCCCCACAATGAGGTGTTCCAAATAATGCCAGTTCCCTGGCACACAGACCGGACAATAAATGGCACTGTCAGCGATTAACAAGAAAAGCTACTGGAAGACTGTTATCTTAGGCTGATCTAATAGGGGACGATGCTGAGGTGTCTGGTGGAATTTGTGCTGAAAATGGAAGACGCAGCATGTGAGAGAGTCGTGCAATGGAGCAGGAGCGTGTGATTGTGCAGAAAAGTCTATTAAAAATGTCAAAATGTTGCATGCGTGACTTTTGAGCCCCTGACTTTTCCCTCATGTACCACTGCAGATGTCACCTGGGCAAAAAAGAGGGTCAGTGCCTGATCGAGCCACAGTGTGAGTAAAATGGCAAATGGAAGCAGTGTGAAGTATCCTCTCGCTCGTTTCCACCTCTCTTTGGCTCTCTGATTAAAATTACAATTACAATCAACTTTTTATTTTTATTGCCTCATATCAGCGTTATTGCTTTCTGTCTGCAGTCCGACTTGCAGTTTCACAGCGACATATCTCTTCAGGTAAAGCTCGGGCCAGTGATCCAGGGCAGAGTCTGGTTGCTTCTGACTTACTCAAGAGAAATCCTCTGCTGTTTGTGCACACTAGTTATGCACCATATGGTTGGTTGAGCTGCTGTCTGCCCATGCTGCTCTCAGGCTTGACTGCAACCGCAAAGGTGGCTCTGGTGCTCAGATGGGGTCACCAACACGTGACACCAGTCTAAAAAGGCATGCATTGAACAGCTATAAGGGGGTTTGTTTACACCACTGCTCGCCTTCTGTGCGTCTTTGGAGGCTTAAAAAAAGTGCGCTATTATTATTTGGTGCATTCCAGCAATGTGGCTATTAATTAGGAATAGGATGTGCTTGGATTGGGTGCTCACACAAGAAACTACAATCTTGAATCAGTGGCTAAAATGCATCCAATCCTGTGTGTCCTCTTTAAAAACAAACGCAGCAGAGCCGAGCGCAGCGCCTCGGTGTCCTTTTACCTGTCACCTCTTTATCAAAATCCCCTCTTTAGAAATCAAATCCTGCGCTATTTCCTCACTTATATCCTTGAAACGCCTCGTCCTATTGATGGGTCAGAGGTGGACGCCTTCCCGCGTCAGGCAGTCAGATGCTGGATTCCCCCTTTGCTGTCTCACCGGGGACCATCGGAGAGATTTCACGATCAGAGCACAACACAGGGGGGAAAAGGAAGCCCTTCTTATTCTTCTTTTTCTTCTTCTTATTGCCTCCAGGATGAGATGCACGGTGGGAATAATCTTTTGGAGACCCGCATATTCCTCCAGGAGATGCTGACCGAGGCGTCCAGATGAAGAAAAGCGGAGGGACACACACACACACACACACACACCAAAAAAAGAAAAATCAGTAACCTCCAGTTATGACATGCTGTGTCAGTGGAAGGATGCCGCGCTAATCAGTCTTTGGGATGGGTGAAGGCTGAGGGAGGGAGGTGCATGCAGGAGGAGGAGGAGGAGGAGGGAGGGTGTCATGCATTGCAGTAGAGGGATGGAAAAAGAAAAGGAGGAGGAGGGAGAAGTATAGAGGCGTTGTTATGGCAACAGAGATTTTATGTGATGTTTTCATCCCTTCTAGAAACCCCCACGTGTTGGCAAAGAGATCCCTGTAAAGTATGCCTGTATTAGAGACTGATGGGGATGATGTCGAGGCAGCACTGTTTTACATTGCATTTGACATGAAGTTTGGATTATGTGGATCTACAAAACACACTGAATTTGTGTGAAGGTGTCAGTGCTTATGATACTTGCCTGAGTACAACCCAGCTTACCTGGTGCATCATGATGGCCTTTGATTGTAAGTTGATATTTTGATTGCTTTTATTATTATTATTATTTTAATAAATCTTTTCAACAGTAATTAAATCATCAGTGCTTAGTTTCTAAGAGGACAAGAGGAAGGACTGATACTGACTGATGTCTGTGTGTTTGATGTCAGAAATATTATTTATTTTACATTGACATTTTATATTTGTTTCCAGTGAGATATTATTGAGTCTACATGCTAATTTTGCTGTTGTTAACATTAATGTTGTTGTTCAAGAAACAATATTTAGTTATATTTGATACATAAATTAATTCTAATGCGGTTCAGGACAGTTGTGTTGTGACAATGTCTGAGTGAAGAACTGTGGGGGATTTTATATAAATATTGTAATGATAATAGTATAAACTTATGAGGAAGTTCATAGTTTGTAGTTAAATAACATCAGCACTTCTTGGGGGAGGACCCACCCTCAACCCCAAGAGGGGCAGCCTTGCAGTCAGAGGAAGTGAACTTTTGTCAGCAGTATTAAGCTGAGCTTCTGTCAGTGAGGATGTCAGTCTAGATGAGAGTTGGGCTTGTTCACATGTGAGGGGAATCATGTAGCAGTGTTTGAATGAACTTCAGTTATGGGTGTGCCTTATGCATACATTGTTAATATTCCTTTTACAGCAGTCAAAATTCCAGGCATATTTAAATATTTAATGTATTTGGGTCCCTGTCCCTCTAACATACTCTGCACGTCCCTTATCAGAGATTTATCAATGATTTGCTTCTTTTTTGACGGATTCGATGTGTGAGGTATAAGGAGTGAAATAATAATCTAAACTTTACTTTACTTTTCTTCACAGAAATGAATGAAGTGCTCTTTAAAGTTTTCTTAGACCACTTAAAATCAAGAAGACATTGTGAAGCTTTGGCGTCCTCTTGTGGGGATCCCGACCCCCAGGTTATGAGTGTGTGGTATTTGTAGTCCTTTAGTTTGAACCCATCTGCTGTAGATGCAGCTAGGTGGTTCCAGGTCTGCATCAATGATTTTGCTGCTCATCCTGATGATCTTATAAAGAGGATTGGGGTGGATGTTGCTCAAAGCACCAAACCAGGCTGTTATGTTGAAGGTGATGATGGATTTGATCATAAAGTACCCGAAAAAAGCTCAGATTTTCCTCAGAAAGTAGAAGCGATACTGACATTTAGAGTTTTTATGTAAAAAGTCCCTCTACTTGTTTTTAACATAAGTTACAGATTACAACTTCCTGTCTTTCTGTTCCTTTATTTTTTTAGATGAATGTACACTAATGAAAACATTGCTATGTTTGTACAGTTTAGATCTTTCTATCTTTATCCGGATTTTTTTTTATTTGTATTTTAAAAAGTACTTTATTTTTGTTTGTTTATGAACCAATGCACCAAAACAAATTCCTTGTATGTGTAAAAACTTACTTGGCAATAAGCCCGATTCTGATTCTGATTCTGTATATTATATTCCATTTCTCTCAATAGATCCTCCTAAATCACATCTATATAAAAATATGTATATAGTGTACATACGACTCTTATTCTCTTATTCTATTTCCACTATATCTTGTATTCTTCCATTGTATTTTTATTTAATTTTTCTTTTCTTATCTGTTGTATTGTACCTGGAGTCTTAACACGTTTTTACTAATTTCACAAATGCCCCAGTTTGGCCCGCTCTTGTCTCAAATAAAACAGTTGAAAAAAGTTTCCCATCAGACAATGACTCATAACTATATGGAAATTGACTTATTTACTTGCCTCAGCTGTGTCCTATTTTACACAAGATGATTTCACTGGTATAATAACATGTAAAAAGTCCCCACACTTATTTTTAACAGCGGTACAAGGTGTTAAAAACAAGACACAGACGAGAAATATTAAATAATGTGAAGGGCCATTATGTTACTGTGTAATCAAATGTATGGCATCTCAAACCCACTATTGCTTTCTGTCTCAGTCAACCCACATGTACTGGCATTCACACACACACACACCCAAATGTAACATGACTACAGGTGCACTGACTCAGCTCAGAGGGGGAATCAGTCTATTGAGTGTGTGCTGATCTTTTGGCCATTTCATTTGCCAGTAGTGAGGATTACTGAGCTGATTGCGTCCCTGTCCTCGACCTGACAAATGCCCATTCCTCTCTCTGTGTGTGTGTGTGTGTGTGTGTGTGTGTGTGTGTGTGTGAGACCTCCCTGTCCCTAATTCCATCAACATCCCTTTTCATCTTTTAAAATATGTGGATTAACTTCACTCACAGCAACAACACAAGTGAGGATGAATCACTCACCCAGTAAGAGCCATTGGGGATAAAGTTATTTTATCATCCACAAATACAAACCTATCTTTATCTAGTGATTCTTGAACAAAAAAGCTGGTTTCATGCATTGATAGGTGATTATGTATTAATTAAGAGGTGATTTGAGTTTTGTCTCTCAGTTTCAGCTATAGAATTTACTTTTAAAATGAAATAATTTGATTATTTCTTGTTTATGGTCATACTTTAAGTTCAACCAATGTCATATTATTGTATATTTAGTCATCACATACATGTTTTAATAAGTAAAGAGAAAAAAGCGGCCTCTCTCAGTGGTCGCCCCTTTGTGCAACTGCCTTCAGTCACCTTTAGAAGGAGAGGAAGTATCAAAACCTTTCCTTACTCCAATACAAGGGAACAGAAAGGATTGTGAAGGAACTGATAACCTGTTGACAATAGAAAAAGAAATACATTTCTGATAAAGGCGGAACTTGTGGATGGAGGTTTATTTAGATTTTCATATAAATACGTAAAGCAAATCCTTCCTTGAAATTCAAAACACATAACAAGTATCAACATGAGTCTGTATACATTCAACCAAAGAGCAGTAATAATAAATGAATAAGAGCAATAGCAGTAAGTATTCATATATGACTTCATATGTATATATACTGTAATATTCTGTCACCTTTCTGTGCCATACTGTACAAATACAGATCTTCATAAAAGTTGTAACTGATTAGTTGTTCCCAATCTAATTCCCTAACTAATCCCACTAAACATTTGGAATAAGAAATTATTTGTAATGATGTCTTCCTTAAATTAGTCCCTCAAGGATTTTGCAGGCAAGTTTTTTTTGTGGCATAAAATGACCCCTCCAAAAAATGGTGTTGTTGTTGTGATGTTTTTAGGCTTTTTTTGCAGTCAAATTGCAAAAGAAAGTGAGTTTCTTGTTCCAGTGGGAATAAAAATCCCACTGTTAGTCACAGGCACCCTCCTTTATAAACTGTATCAAATAAATAATAAAAATAAATGTATCAAATCCTGCCATATAATGATGAGGAAAGGAAAACATCTGGTAAACAGTTCTACTCCAGTTAATGACGATGACCCCCAACTGACAGCGCAGATTGATCCTCAAAGTAGATGACTGGTTCATATTTAAGATAAGTAAGGGGTCCTTTTTTCTCCCGAGCAGCCTGGATCTCCATTGTTAAGCCTCCATTCAAGGCAGACAAACACAGCATCTGTACATCAGCATCGCAGTTACGAGGCTCAGAAGGATGATGACGGGCACCAGGAGGAGAGCCACATACAGAAACCACGGCTCTGGAAACACCTCGACATCTGGCTCTGACAAACACAAAATGACTGATGTAAGTGTAATCCTAACATTAAAGCACACATTAATACAGTGTTGGATTCATTGTAATTATTTCTCCTGTCAAACCAAATTGAAATTTGGTTCACCCAAATAACAAAGAAAATAAAAGCAGATGGAAACTGAAAAAAAGGCAGTAAAAATTCTGCCACCGCAGCAGCAAAATTAAAGGAAAACCAATCACAAGATCTTTGTGAAATTAGTTGGTTGAACAAAAACATAACATTTTTACAGAAGAACATGACACTTGACACTAGGAGAGACTCACCAGACACAGTTGTTGAACATGTTACCGAAACATTTTTTTCAGCATCTCCACCATCTCCAGGCACTAAGGAGAAAACATTTGACCAAACAAGTCTTCACTTTAAAGCCACATTACGTAAGAACTTTAACACCACTGTCTTACCGAAGTAATTTACAGGGGCTGCAACCAGGACTCCCTATTTTTATGAATAAAATATTTTCAGTTTTTCCGTCTGATGTCCTCTGGTTGCTCTGCCTCAACTCTCAGCAATTTATAGAGTTTCCTAATGGTGAGAGCTTTACTTGTTGCTAAATTAGCCACTAACTATAGCTGCTGGGACCAACACTGCCCCTGTTCCAGGCAGTACAGCTGCACGGCTAACGGTAGCTACCATCAGCTACATATTTTCTCCAAAAAAAATATCAAAATGAGTGAAAAAGTAAAAACGTTGTGTTTTTGTACAGGAATGAGGCCCGGCCCCCATCCTGACATGCCTCACTTTCAAAAACCAGCCAGCGGAGATTTGACAAGCTGAGTTGTACTCAGCGCCATCAGCCATCAGGAGTTGAGCTGAGAACAAGTTCACACCTTTTCCCTTCAACGTTCTAAAACTGTTTCGTATCGTCGTGACTCTTCGGTCTGAACTGGGCTTTAGTATTAAAGGGTGGGTTAACTTTTTTCCCTAAGTCCAGTTTAAAACAACACTCACATGCCCACATAAACGCTGAGGAGGTTTTTGCTCTCTGTAATCATTCCCTACCTAATGTAAGTGATGATGGGGGACAAAATCCACAGTGCTTGTTTCATGCAAAAATACATTGCAAAGTTTATCTAAAGTGAATATGGAGCTTCAGTTGTCCAAGTTAGTAAATTAAGTTGGTATCCTCCAAAGTTACAGTTTTTAGCAGTACCTGAATTGTACTAAAGAAATGTTAGTATCCTAATTCAGCCCAACCATAACCACAACAGAATACGTTTTTTTTAATTCATTTTTTTTACAAGGACATTTTCAGAGCTGTTATTTTACCTGTTACCACCAGTGTATCACACGCTGCCTCTGATTGACTCTGACCATGACAATTTTCTTTTTCTAACCCCAACCATCTCATTCATTTACATATATAAGGATGGACAATATGACAGCTCCCCAATAGTTCAATTCAATTCAATATAATTTAATTTATTTGTATAGCACCAATTCATAACAGAAGTTATCTCAGGACACTTTTCAAATAGAGCGGGTCTAGACTGAACTCCTTTTAACATTTACAGAGAC